CACTGTTTTCGTAGAAAAGTGATGGAGGTGGAGCTCCAGAAGCTGTAGATGAAGCAAATGGCCATTTGACTTGTGGGTGTGATAGCATTTCATATTGCAAGGTAATTATTTTCTCATCCCTCAAAAACTTCTTCTTGGTTAATGAATTACAAAGGGGATATGGCTGTATTTAAGTCTCTTTATTTTCATATGAGAGAGCGGGAGAGAGAGGACATTAACAACAGATATTTGCATAGTGAAATGTTGTGTGTCGCACATGTGCAGGCAAATGCAACCTTCGGAACATGTGATGTCCCTCAACTAGCGCCTCCTCCACCGGCTGCGTTAACCACCACAAGCACTGGAGGATCCTCCCCGGACACCAATTCTGGTCATTCCGATGCTGGGCTGGCTCGACTACGGTGGCTGTTTGGGTTGTTCTCCGTCACTGCTTTCCTTTCCTTAATGTGAAAAGCTTTTTTCACTGTTTCCATCTTGTGCATTTACCTCATTATTTGATTTTTAAACCCAGAGGATGAGAGATATATCGTCGCCCTTCAGCTTTTCCACATTGTATCTAAGAATAAATTCTATATAGGGCGAAATTGATTACATTGTATGCGGCCCTTTTCATTCTAAATAAGAAATCCTTCCGTCTTTGTGGGATACTATGCCGAATGATCGGGAGAAATCGATTCTCAAATACCTTAAAGACGCCATCGGTTCCATCTTAGTTATTATCTTAGAGATTTCGCGAACTTTAAAGATGATTGTAATCGGAAAGTCCCATTTTTTTCTCCCTAGTGAGAGCGAACTTAGAACTCGTACTCATTTACTATTACCGGACTGCTGCATTCGGGCAATCTAACTTTGTTTTCCTTTAGAGAAGTCTAGACTCGGCGCACAATCACTTGCTAAGATCTAAGAAGGAAAAGAAATAGACCGTGTCCCGAGCGCCTCCTGAAACTTTTCTCTTCACGTTGTGCACATTGCCCACCTGCAGTCGCATTGTAACCAACCCTACCAATTTCCCTACACACTGGTAAGATCTGTTCGATTACCCCGTTCTCCGGCGACAAGGACGGATTTGGACTTGTCTCTCCCTCTAACCCAAGGAAAACATCACGCTTTGCGCCCATGACAAGACCGTTCGATTGCCCAAGTAGTTGATCCTAAACGTTCCCAATCGCAAGGCACTTGGCGCCCTGTAGGTCTCCCCTACCCAACAAATCTCGGGAGTGGCCTCGTTTCGATGCATCTAGACGGAGTATCGACGTACAGAGAGTGCTCTCGCAAAGCTGTGCTTTGTCGGGTCCAAATTTCTACCAATGGACCGTTGGGATCATAATGTTCTTCTAGGCGGGAAAAGTACAAAAAAAAGTCTTGAACCTATTGCATTTCTACCAAAAGTCCTAAACATTTCAATCAGACTAATTTAGTTCTAAACCTTTTCATATTTGTGTCAATTCAATCCATTTGGCCAAATTTAAGCCGGTTTCACTGACATGTATGCTGACCGTCATACATGGTTAGTCAACCGGCGTTGACGTGGACATCTATTGTAATATTTTTTGATTTTTTTTGTTTTTTCTTTTCTTTTCTTTTTCCCTTCATTTTAGCCGGTGAGGGCTAGCAAGTCCTCGTCGGTCGCCGGCGAGGGCGCAAAGACCCTCGCTCAGGGCCATTGCGGCCTCTCTAGCTGTGAAGACCCTCACCTAGATCTAGCGAGGGCTTGGTGGCCCTTGCCGGCCAAAATGAAGGAAAAAAAAAGAAAAAAAAAGAAAAAAATAAATAAAGAAAAGCAAAGAACATATTATTAAAATTTTTATGTCAATGTCGATCATATCATGTAGGACGACTAGTATCCACGTTAGTAATTTTCCACTTAAATTGGTCGAATGGACTGAATTAATATTAATGTGAAATTGTTTAGGACTAAATTGGTCCTATTAAAATATTTATAACTGAATCGGTATCAATATAATAGATTTAAAATTTTTTGATACTTTTGCCGAAAATAGTTCGATTATTATATCAACACCTCACAAGTCACAACCAAGTTGAAGAAGATAAGCGCCACCTTTGTACCATTTATGTCCCAACCGCTGACATCGACACCGTTGATTTTCGGCAAGAAAATATCTCGAATCTTTGAAATCCTTCCTTTCTTCAAATGGAACAAACAGAGCTAGAATCATGTGTGGCAAAATCAGACACACTGGCTCGAATCAAAACGTCAAAACTCCCGATCAAGGATCAAAACCCTGGAATGCCACCTCCTATTGCCATATTCTCAGTAAGTTAAGGGCAACCAAGCTGCCCTAATACATGAAATAGAAAATAATCCATCTATTTCCCACCAGATTGCAAGTGAAAATGTCAAAAATAGTATGACAAAATATAATCAAAGCATGATAAAATCGATTCGTTCTTTCTATTATTTATAGTGTCAAGCACGCCTTTCTCAACTTAAGTGATTAATCAGTGATCCATCGTTCAATTTTGCCTATCAAAATACACCGTCAGTCTTTGTATCAACTGCAAAAAATATGTGTGCAAATCAAAACGCCAAAGAATGGACCACACAAAATTTTTTCACAAAAAATGATCATGTAAATGCAAGCATAATTGATTCGACAATCGGTAAATAAGTTGTAAGCTATACAAAATTTAGTTGCTTACCTGACCCTAACTTGGTCATTCTTAATAATTAGCATCGCCCATGAAATACTTGTTGCAAGCTATACAAAATGTTACGATAAAAGATTGATTAATTGAGAAAAATCTACTCATCCGCAGGATGTCTATTGGTGAACTCCAATACCTGCAACGCTCGTGCACCAAAATGCACCACCTCAACCTTAGAAATACAAGCCCAACTACACATGGATCTAAGTGGATCGAGGACATATCCATTTTAACTAGAGGCGGTAAAATGAGTCCGTAACCCACTTTTTGAATCATATTTAGTGGGTTTGGTTGTTTATAGATTACCTACACTATTAAACCTCGGTTGATATGAGTTGACCAAAATAAAAGCCTAATGACATGTGGGTATTATTGGGTTTTGGGAAATTTTATTTTCAATTTTATAAAAGAAAACTGATCAACATATATATATAATTTGAATTTTAGCAATGAGATGTAAAATGGGGGGAAAATTGTCTAAAAAGTTTTAACCTAGTGCACGGCGGCCAATTCAGTCATAAACTTTTTAATTTAGTTAATTTAGTCCTATATTTTTTTTTATAGTTTTTCAATATAGTCCTTTCGGCTAAATTTGGTCAAAAATCGTTGACCTGGACTCCAGCCATACGTCGGCGGTCCTACATTGGTCAGCGCCGCAATTCTCGCAATTTTTTTAAATTTTTAAATTTCTTCTTTTCTTTCCTTACTTTTTGTTTTGTGGGCTGTCGACCCTCACTGGGGCTATGCCACGTAGGATGGCCGATGTCATGTCAGCGATTTTCGGTCAAAATTGATCGATAAGACTACATTAGAGGATTGTAAAAAAGGTTTAGGATTAAATTGGCCAAATTAAAAAGTTCAGAATTGGATTGACCACCGTACAACAAGTTTTAAGGCTTTGTGGACAATTATCCCTAAAATGGGTCCATAAATACTTTTTAACTTACATTTAGTGGACTGAGTTCTACCTGAAATACTAAAACTAGGTTAAAGAGTTAAAAAAAATCGAAAGTCCAATTATGTGTGGGCTCAATGAGTTTGCAACACTCTCATTTTTAACCCATTCTATTAACAAAGGGTAGCAAAATGAGTCAAAAGAAAGTTAAAGCTCAATTACATTAGGGTTTTAGGGTGAGTTTGGAAAAGTTTGGCCTTTGAACCTTTTCATCGAGGCAAGGTCCTTAGATCGAAGAGTTTTCATTGAAAGAAAATAGTGTTTGGTGACATGTAAAATACTTACTAGTAAGCAACTTATAAAATTTAAAAAAGGTAAAAAAAAAAAAAAAAAGAACGCACAAAAGAGAACGACAACCCGGAGGACACTCCCGGGTGATATTAGCCACCGCCAAGCGTGAGGTTGAGCAACTCCTTGCAAGGCTCGCCTGGGAGAGCGCAGCACGATGAGGCTCGCCAGCGACCCACGCGAGATTTGTCATGTTGAGGTCCAACGGCCCCCGGCAAGGCTGGGTCACATGCTACTACCCAATGGCCTGCCTAGGGTTGCGCGACCTTTGCGAGGCTGCTCCAAGTTCGAGCAACCCTATGAGTTGGTGGGGAAGGGAGGGGCTTAATGGAGCATAGTGGTGGCAAGGCTGAGGACTAGGTTGCGGACTCGCAAATTGGGGCCATGGACTAGTAGGGGTAGTATTTTTTTTGTCAAATTAGGGGTTATCACATGGTTAGGATGGTTACTAGAGGATATGGGAGTGCGTTATAATAGCGGCATAATTATTTCTTGCGACAACTAAAATGCTATTTAAATAGCACGTAATGATGTTTTGCATGAACGCACCAAGCACAATTGAGTAGATTGTCACTTCGTCCAATATCATATTCTTTGTGGCACTAATCGATTTGTCTCTACTTCATCTGATAAACAGACTGTTGATGTCTTTACTAAGATACATTAACCTGAGCGTTTCTGGATTTTTTCCAAACTCGAGTTGACTTCTTTCAAATTACCTTACGTTTGTATAGGGATGTTAGAGATATATTTAGGAGATTCTTTATATTTCTCTTCCTTCGTCCTAATTGATTATGATGATATTCTGCTACTCTAGAAAATCATCCTATAAACCTATAAATAGGCTCGTTTATTCTTCATTTGATAATGTACAAAAATCATCACAAGTCTCAACTGCATTAGTGTACCTGCTATTTCCATTAGTAATTGGTTGTTTTTATAATAATCAGGCCACTTAATTATCTGATCTTATCAATACATGATTTTGCAAATCTTCAGGATATTTCCCAACAAAGGAAGACAGCTTTTATCAGTCAACAACGTGTTGGCCACAAAACGTCTGCAAATGCCAAAAATAGTACAACACAGACGAATACTAGAGTCACAACCTTGAAGCATCTCACTGTGGAAACGAATCCACGATTGATAATGCCTCTGGAAATCCTTAATCCTATAGAATGAGCAACAAAGGAAGACAGCTTTTATTAGCCAACTACATGTTGGCAACAAAACGTCTGCAAATGCCAATAGCACAACACACATGAATACTATAGAATCACAACCTAGAAGCATCTCTGTGGAAACGAAGCCACGATTGACAATGCCTCTGGAATTCTTAAAAGCTGTAGCATGAGAAACACACTTTCATTAGCCAACCAGATGTTGACCTTCCTAAAGTGCCAACAGTCGAAATCATTTCTTCTTTTTTCTTTTTCAATATTTCTTCGTTTTCTTCTCCACCATCAAACCAAACATCCAAACTAACACATCACACATCGTGATCGGCTCCATCTATAGTCTGTAGATACTGTTTCTATTTAACGAACTTCAAAGCTTCAAACCAGAACCATTCAACTTCTCTTCCAGGACACCGTCAATTCTCTCCCCCATCTCAGCACTCATGTAATTCACCCAATCTCCAACCTCACCTCTCCTGAAGAACCACTTGTTCTGATATCCAGGCGACACCTTCCCGCTTTTATTCACCTCCATTGTGCTCAAAATGTCGAAGCTACACATCCTCAGTATTCCCTCCACTGTCCCGTCTCTCAGTTCTTCTTCGCTAAATGGACACCCCAAGAAATCGGCCAACCTCCTTACATGAACACAAGGATCCTCTTTCATCTCCTCGTACATCACGAACAACGCCTTCTCGGGCATCTCCAAACTCACCTTGTGGTAACCCAGCACATGGTCCCAGTAAGGCCCATACGCGATCTGCCCTTGACAGTACTTGTCGAGGCACTGCTGGAGTGGAATCTGGCCCTTCTCTTCGGGCCTCAGCTTGTTGGTGAAGTGCCACAGCGAGATGAAGGTGTCCTTAGGGTTCCTACAAAGGTAAACCAGCTTGCACTTGGAGTCCCTCACTGACTGTGGAAGTGAGGAATAGGGCAAGTGGGTGGCAAAGAGCCTCGGGGACTCAAAAGCAGCGAGATCGGGATTTTCTTGCTCGCGGTAGAGCTGACGCTCCAAGAAGAGCACGAGGTTGTGGGGGTTTTGGGTTAGGAGAGGGTGGTGTCGTGAGATGGAGGCGGAGTACTTGGCACGGTTCAAGAGAGCAAAGAGGATGGCTTTTAGCCAGATAGTGCCGGATTTTGGGTTGCTGACGAGGAGGATGTCAGAGGCGTGAGCTTGGAAGTGGTTTTGGCAAGCGAGGACGCCGCTGAAGAGCCGAGTGGAGAACCAGAAGCCCTGGTACAAGCAAAGAGAGCCGGCAACCCAGTCTTCTTCCGAAGGGAGGGAGGAGAGCAAGTCTTTGCATGCTTCTGACATGTAGTCATCTCGCAAGTACTTTGCATGGGAAGGAGGAGGAGTTTGGGAGGCTTGCCTTGTGGTGATGGTGGTGGCGGTGGAGGAGGAGATGGAGAGTCCGAGTGAAGAATGTTGGAATTTGTGATCCGTTTCTTGAACTTTAGAGATGAGTCCACACAATTCAAGCATGTCTTGTAAGAACTAAAATTAGTGGTAGAAAAACACTATGAAGAGGTGGTGAAAATTGTGGTGCTTAGATTAATTAGTAGGAGGTAAAGTTAGTGGCCAATGAATGGCCAGCATGCATGCTCAGTGATATCGGAAAAGGAGTGTCGTTCAAAGAATGCCTGTAAATAGGCATAACTCATTCATGTAAAGATGTGTGGGGAGTGGAGCTCATATGGCCTACATGTCCTCTTACTTCTCCACCCACGCCAACATCTCCTCAAAATAATTTGAATGGATTATGAAACTAAAAAATGCAAGTTGTGACTAATGGAGCTTGGGATGGCCGGAGCTAACCATAGATGCCATCTCGTGAGACGAATCATTTGCGCCTACTTAGTAATCTTTCTGCTTTCCCTTATTGGTTCACCTTGGGAGGGTCGCAACAGCCAAAAAAAGTGGGGATATTTGGCAAAGCCAAAGCGTTGCTCAATAGCAATATAATATATGCAAGTTCTCGTTAACTCTTCACCTCATCGTATTTGAACGATAAATCTAGCATGCGTCATTGTACTGGGCTGCCCCCGACCGTCGACATCTCTTCCTCACGTCGTCATTGATGCCTCCAAAAGTTGCCTATCCCACTTGACATAAAACATAGTTACATATTGTGCAAATTGACTCCATTGACACTGATCTCGTGTTGGAATATCTTCTAGACACCGACATTCTTCTCCATGAAGATAGCGCCGCAATTGCTTTTTTTCGGGGGTATGAATTTCGCCCAGGGAAGCATCTTGGTGAGGATTAGTTTCGGGCATTCGCTCCTGTAATTCCTCCCAACTGCGGAGTAGTTGTGTCTTGTCGTTGTTGATTTTGGCATGTTACGAGGGTAGAGTTGACCTATGTACGTTGTTGCCTCGAGTGCCACGACAATTGCGAGGCGAAGTTGTTATTGTTATTATTAACTTCATTGTAATATTTAGAATGCAATTAAATCATTATAAAAAGAAAGAAACAAATGGAATTAACAAACGGTTTCATAGATCAAGACCGTTTGGAAGTGAAATATGAGTGAAGATTGGGGAGATAAAAAAATGAGAGAAAGGGAGCCAATTCATACTGGCCGGCAAGTCACTGATTTAAGTGTACCAATGCTCACTTATTAGTTTCTTTTTCAGTTAAGGCCCAAAGGTACTGCCAATTGGCCATCCAGTGACCCCCGGTCACTGATCTAGTGACTAAAATTGTGGGGCCGAGCCACATGTGCCCAACATATCTTTTGAGTATCTTTTATAATAATTTCATTTCAATTCATTTCCTACGTCAACAAATAATATGTTATCTTTCTATTACCGATTTACCTTTTTTGTCTTTATAAATATTATGTTAGTTTTATTTATGTGTATTTTAGCTTATGATTACTGTAATAGTAAAAGTAGAACCCTTTTTAGAGTTATGTCAGGTTGATATTCCTATTTTTATAATTTTCTAATTTACATTTTTGGCTAATTTAATTAAGAAAACACGAAATGCAAAAGTATGAAAAATTGATCTATTTTAAAAATCAAGAAAAGATGCAGATTAATGTAAATATGAGTTTCTATAGATAAATTAATATCATTTGTAGATGTCCTTATGAAAACACTTATTTTTAAAATACAAGGAATATCAATTCAGTATTAACTCTAAATTAGGTTCTACATTTACTATTATAGAGACCACAAGGTAAAATATAATTAAATGAAACTATTGTAATGTTAATAAATACCAAAAAGGTAAAAACATAATAAAAAGCTAGCAATTTTTTTTGTTGATTTAAGAAATACGTGGAAATGAAAAGATAATTTGAAGTATGGGAAAAAGTGTAATTATGTAAACTTGTGTATAGTACTGAATAGAGTGAGCATGGATCTCAAGTATAACTAGGAACTAGACTAAACCGCCCATGAGAACCGGTTCGATTCTAGGTTCTAGTGAGAATCGGTTCGGTTCTTGATTCCAAATTTTTTTGAACCTGTATTGTGCAATTGGGTTCCTAGTTCTCAGGTAGGAACAAAATTGAATCAGACTAGGAGCTGAAGAACCTAGAAATTGTACTGGGAACCAAAGAGCCGGACCAAACCAAGGGAACCCTAAAATAGAGCATGACATACACAGTGGATGAACAAAAAGTTCCTTTCCCTAAGGGCGACTCCTTGGCTTTCACTTGCGGAATTTGACTCATCTAGAGATTCCAGATATTGCACTTCATTGCTAATTGCCATTGCAGGCTACATCTACCATCGCACAACCTAGCTCTGTTGTGCACTACTTTATGACTGGGAAAACACGAATAGTTCAAACTTCGCTCAAGACCTCTTTGTTGGCCAAGATCACCAGCAAAAACTGTTGTAAAATAAAATGGCTTCGAATCAAAAGAGCAATCAAGTCGGACTTTGAGGCGTGATATCACTTTCCTTAAGGATTTATTTGCCCCACAATTGTTGCTAATGGTCACCGGTAAAAATCCTCCATGATATAACAAAGTCTCAAAATGAGAATACTAGATAGCAATTCTAGTATTTCTCCAGGGTCTCTCTAGGAAACAAAACAAATGATGGCTATAGTTTTCGAAAGAAGACTTGAAGAAATTGATCTCTGTTTTCTTTCTTGCCAAAAACTGACATATATAGAAATCGGTCTTAAAGAACATTGGCAACTCTTCACGAAAGGTTGCAAAGCTAACAAAGATATTCATTCGGAGGAAGTTGCAAACTGAATAGATGCAACCCTTTGGAAAAGATTGAAAACTGAACAAATATAATCTCCAAAAGTTGTCATGGAAAGACACATGTAAAATTCGGAATAAAATAAATAAATAAATAAATATATAATTCCGAATTTTCATAATTTTGAAATAAAAATTAATAAGATAACCTTACGAAATAAAATAAAAATATAAAGGGATTAGTGATAATCGCGCCAAAATCGCGCAATTATTCGCGCACCCGCACGCGGGTATTGTGTGGACTAGCACACACTCCATTGTCTTCACTCTAAGGAGCAAGAAGATATTCACAGTTATAAAGCGGCCCACTTTCTCAAAACTTTCCTATGTGGGACAAAGGAAATAGCATTATTTTGTTTGTTTTACAAACAAACATCCAACAATCCCCACTTTGTTTGTAAAACAAAGATTTCATGAATAAAACTTTTAAAAAAAAATTTAACCATACAGCCAAGATTTCGGTGAGATTAATATACATGCATAAAGGTCTCTTTCGAGTTAAACCTTTACTTAGTGCAAGTATCTCAAAACTCTATCAAAGGGACAAGTAGCTCGGCTTTAAACTTGTACTTTTAAATAATAGAATCGGACATACCGCACATATACTAACCTCTTGTTTCAGCGAGAAGTTATATATTACTCCGCACTATTATGGCCTTGTGCTTGATCCTGTTTCATGAGCTCTCTAGAAAGCAACCCAAACTTTCGTAAGAAGCGGCACCACTTCTAAGCTCATATAGGTGAAGTATCTACCATGTGTTTCTGTTACTATTAACACATTACAAGTTTGTACTATACTTCATTAAGAATTCAATTTATCCTCTAAAACGTAACAGACGATACTAACTTCTCATATCAGGGCTAGCGTTAGTATCAAACAATCACATTCAGTAACTTGTTCTTACCCATTAAACCTTGTAACTAGTGATGTTCTAGAAAAATGTTGGGTTACCGTTACTGGTGATTTTAATTAAAGGGTTTCAGCCCCATTTCTTTCGAGGTCGTAGTTACCATCTGTCTTGGTAAAGCCTTTGTAAAAGGATCAGCTAAATTATTACTTGACCTCACGTAGACAATTGTTATGGTACCATCTTTAATCAATTGTCTCACATACTCATGCCTTAGGCTAATATGTCTAGACTTACCATTATAAGTGCTACTATAAGCTCTTGCTAAAGTAGCCTGACTATCACAATGAATAGAGATAGGAGGCATAGGACTAGGCCATAATTTGATATCCAACAACAAATTCCTAATCCATTCAGCCTCTTTCCCAGTTGCCGCTAACGCAACGAATTCGGATTCCATCGTTGAGTGAGTTATACATGTTTGTTTCTTGCTCGCCCAAGAAACAGCACCTCCGCCGAGTGTGAAAATCCATCCAGAAGTGGAATGTTTATCACCCACATTTGTAATCCAACTAGCATCGGTGTATCCTTCTAATACAGCCGGATAATTATTATAGAACAGACCTAAATTTTTAGTTCTCTTAAGATAACCAAAAATTCTGGTAATAGCCCTCCAATGTTCTATACTTGGATTACTAGTATACCTACTCAACTTGCATACAGAATGAGCAATATCAGGTCTAGTACAATGCATCGCATACATTAAAGACCCTACAGCACTCGCATATTCAAGTTGTGCTACCGCTCTACCAGTATTATAATTTAACTTAATACTGGAATCAAATGGAGTACTTATTTCCTTGAAACCAGGATGCTGAAATTTATTTAGCATTTTTTCAACATAATCGCATTGGCTCAAAGAATAACCCCCACCATGCTTTTTAACTTTAATACCTAAGATAGTATCTACTTCACCTAAATCCTTCATTTTAAACATGGAGGTTAGATACTTCTTAGTCTCAACTATTCCAGTCATATTTGTTCCAAAGATAAGCATATCATCAACATACAAGCATACTAAGACACCATAGTCTTTAGTGAATTTAGAGTATATACACTTATCAGCACTATTGTGGACGAAACCATTAGACAATATGACCGAATCAAATTTTTCATGCCACTGCTTAGGAGCTTGCTTAAGCCCATAAAGAGACTTCGTCAATTTACATACTTTCCTTTCATTTTCAGGAAGAACGAAACCCTCTGGTTGTTCCATGTAAATTTCCTCATTTAAGTCTCCATTCAAGAAAGCAGTCTTGACATCCATTTGATGAATACAAAAATCATAAATGGAAGCTATAGCAAAAAGAATTCGAATAGAAGTTATACGTGCAACAGGAGCATAC